TTTTTTTTTTTTTTTTTTTTTTTTTTTTTTCCAGTGAGCAAATATTGAAAATATGGAACTGTTTCTGGTAGTACAGAATTTCTTACTCAGTGTCAACGCTAATAAAAATGTGACTCTAAATGATTAAATTGGTGAAGGAGAAGTAAAATAGCAAATCGATAGATACAGGTTACAGGTTAGGGGTGGACCTGCTGGAGACAACTTCTGAAGAGAAAGATCTAGGGGTCCTGGTGGACAGCAAAATGACAATGAGCAAGCAGTGTGCTCTTGTGGCCAAGAAGGCCAACGGAATCCTGGGCTGCGTAGGGAAGAGTGTGGCCAGGAGGTCAAGGGAGGTCATTCTCCCCCTCTGCTCTGCACTGGGGAGGCCACAACTGGAATCCTGCATCCAGTTCTGGGCTCCCCAGTTCAAGAGGGACAGGGAACTGCTGGAGAGAGTCCAGCGTAGGGCAACAGAGATGCTGGAGGGATTGGAGCATCTCCCTGATGAGGAAAGGCTGAAAGAGCTGGGGCTCTTGAGCCTGGAGAAGAGAAGGCTGAGGGGAGACCTCATTAATGCTTCCAAGTATCTAAAGGGTGGGTTGAAGGAGGAGGGAGCCAGACTCTTTTCAGTGGTTCCCAGTGACAGGATGAGGGGCAACGGGCACAAGTTGGAACATAAAGGGTTCCACTCAAATATGAGGAAGAACTTCTTCACAGTGAGGGTGACAGAGCCCTGGCAGAGGCTGCCCAGGGAGGGTGTGGAGTCCCCTTCTCTGGAGATTTTCAAGCCCCACCTGGATGCTCCTGAGTAACATGCTCTGACAAGCTCTAGGCAATCCTGCTTCAGCAGGGGAGTTGGACTAGATGGTCTCTATGGTCCCTTCCAACTCTAAAAAATTCAGTGAAATTCAGTGAAAATTCAGATGCTCGGATGCCAAAATAAGGGTGAAGGTCTGACAGTCCTGACAAAGCTTCAAAGCTTTGTTGAACATGAAACACAAGTTCAGGGGAGACCTTTCTGCCCATTTTGGCCAAGGGATTTTACTGCTGCTCTTGACATTTGTGTGGCTGAGCCGGTGGCCCTGCACAGGAACACAGCCCGCTTAGATTTCACCTGAAATGATGAGCCTACCTGTGCTTTTTCCGTTGTCCCTCCCAGAGTTTACAGCCATGAATTTTCTGACATCTCTTTAAAAAAAGTCAATCAGCCTGGTCATTGATCCAAGGCTAAAAGTGCTAATAAGAAATGAAAACTCAACTTCCAAACACAACCCAGCACCACCTGCCACGTCTCCTACAAGCATAAAACTTAGTATGCGTTGTATTTTCAACGTTATGCGAGATGGTGTGGCAGTCCCTGATGCTTTTATAGCTCACGCTGTGTTGCTTTTGATGGTTTTATTAAAGTAGGAATCTCTCCATGCATTTTTATCACGTATACAGTCAGCTTGAGCGCGTTCTGCTGTCCTTTGTGTCACACGATCAGCTAATAGCAGTGCTGCCTTAGTGCTTAAAACTCTCACTCAGCTTTTCTTTAGGTTGTTCTGTAGGATTTTATTGACACCGAAGTGCTGATAGTTGGATTATGTAAGGACAGAGGAGGTATTAAAAATGTAGAATATGCTTAGGAGGGAGGCCAGGTCCTGCTGGAGGAGAAGCTCGGCCTCAGAAAAAGAGCAGGGCAATGCAGCAGCAAAAAGCATCGGCAAGTAAGTGCCTGGAAGTTGCTGCTTTAATGCTGCTTTTGCTGTAGTTGGGAAGGAAGAGCTACTGGGAGATGTTCCTCAGGACACTTTCAGTGTTGCGTTGTGAATACAGCACATCTGGTACTCCATGGTGATAGACACTAGTCTCATGGCTTATGCCATTTTCATAATTTTATGAAAAAATAAGCCTTTGTGTACCTTTCCTTTCTTAGGCTCCCCGTTCAGAAGCTCACACCATCCTTGGTTCTCTTGTTTGCTTTCCAAATATCTACCAAGAAATCCCGCTTTTGCGGCCCATTTCACAAGCTGGTGATATCATTGCAGGAACTACCGACGTGAAGGTAAAGTCACATTTTATTAGTACCTCCTTATATAACCTAACATATATTTTTACTTCATTTTTACCATGCACTTTTTGTGTAAAAATAAAAAAATAAACCCCTCCTCCTCCTCAAAACCCCCCAACTGCACACATTATACGTACTTATTTGATAAGCATTGCTTTGCTAAATGTGCACCATAAAATTAGCAAAGCTTAGATGCTGCAAATTGCATTTTATTTTCAAGGAGAGTGAACTGGCTATGATCAAATGTGCTATTTTCCAGCCAGATGCCTGTCAAGTCAATTCATTACAAGATGTTGGTGGTATTATTTATAGTGTCCATTTGTTGTATTTGTGTGCATTAACTCATCCTGTCAGAGATGTGGGGTATTTCTATTAAAAAACACATTAATTTTTTCAAAACACAGCTTGCTTAGAACTTTAACACTCTAGTTTGTATTATGAAGTGATCAGCACTCATTATTAGTAAATACCCATCAAGTCTGAAAATGAATTGATTTCCATCTTGCTGCCTGTACATGATTTTAAATCAATTAGATTTATCCACAAAGGGACTGTATATTTGAGTTGTAATCAGTATTTCTCCTTTGACAAGATAAAATTGGCGCGTAGTAAAAGCGCGTTAAGAATAGACTGATAATTAAAGTTAATTCATTTCTAACTATGTCAAAATTAAATAACTTCAAACTGAATGTATGGGAAAGATGCTTATTCTCATTTCTTTTATTATTTCAGTGCTACCTCATAAATATTTTATTGAAGAATGCTACAGAGGAGCCAAGTGAAGCTGCAAGGTAAAATATTGAGTAAAAGAAAATGGGAAAGTCTTTCTTATCACTGATATTTTGATTTTTTTTTTATTTTTTTTTTTTTCTTTGGTGCTTGGACAGCTGAGTTGTGGTTTGATCCTATTGAGATGAGGTTCACTCTGCACCATGAAGGTGTTGACCTATTGTGTGTCTTGAGAGAGGGAAAAGAGAGATTGCGTCTTTGGGAATTCCTTTCTTTTTCTTTTTTCTATTCTTCTAAATATTTTTCTAAAACTTCTGACAAAACCACTTTTTTCTTTTAAAAAAGATGCATAGCCATTTGTGGCCTTGGAGTTTGGATATGTGAAGAACTAACACAGTGCACAAACCACCCCCAAGTGAAGGAAGCAATCAATGTCATAGGTGTGACGCTGAAGGTAGTACTATGACAGTCTGTAATCAATAAATACTGTGTTTGAAAAGTATTTTAATTTTTTTTTAAACAGTTGCTGGTGATAAGGAGCACAATGTGCTGGTTTGTCTTTTCATTGCTTAAAGCACTGGTAGGATGCTGCTTGGGCCAGGATGCGACAGGCTGCTTGGGACAGACAGATGCTGCTTGGGACTTTTTGCATAATGTGGGTGATATGGCATTGACCATCTTCAAAAAGATGTCTTCCACTTCCAAACTTTTGCATTTAATTAGTTAATCATTATGTTCAGTGAGCATGGTTCAGATCCTTATGGCTTCTGTGAAGTTGCCGAGGATTGTATGCGCAGTTCTTCAGTGTCATCAAATACCCTATACAAAAGTGCAAAATATTTATAAAAAATAGCATGTGATTTTGTATCTGAAGACCATTTCCAGTGTGATTTTGCAACATTAACAGTTTTCATTGTTTGTATACATGCAAAACAAAATAAAATGTAGAAAACCTGAATGTGTTGTATTGTATCTTGTTGTTTCATTTGCCTTTTAATCATCTTTCCTTTTCTTCCAGTTTTCTAATAAGCTGGTAGCTCAAGTAGCCTGTGATGTTCTTCAGCTGCTGGTTTCTTATTGGCAAAAGCTTCAGAAGTACGAATCCTCTCTGTCCAGAAAAATTACTGAAGTACGTCAGTTTCTTTAAAATGTTTGTATGGAAATAGTGTGCAAAATTGTCTTAATACCTTACTCGAGCTACTGTAACTGTGACTTTAACTTGCTTTTTCTTCTGCAATTATTGTTAGGACGTGGACTTGCTGTAGTCCTGGGATCAGTGCACTTCTCTTATTTGTAGTGATTTATTTCCAAAATGCTCAGTAAAACTTTTAATTTCACTTGGACATTGATTTATAAGAGCAGTTAGATGCTCCGAAGAGAATTTAACCCTTTTCATGCCCTATTCAAATGAAATTCAGGCTCTGTCTCTCTAGCAAAAGAAGTTAAATGTTTTACTGGAATTTTGTTTATTTTAATGTAGATCCTTGTGGCCACTATTGCATTTCTTTTGCCGAGTGCTGAATACTCCTCTGTGGAAGCAGATAAAAAGGTACGTCGCTGAAAAGGGCAGGCTCTGTTCCTTCTGGGTGCTGTTTCGGAGGGTTATTAAATGAAGTTGCTTGGAACTAGAGTCATATTTTAAATTTTCAAAGTCATACCTTTTAAAGTTGGGCGACTTTATTAATAGAAGATACCTGAACACCGTGTTACATGTTTCTGTTTAGTTCATAGTTTCGCTGCTGCTTTGTTTGTTGGATTGGTGTATGGCATTACCCATGAAAATGCTACTGGAGCCAGTGTCTGCTGGTGTTCTTGAAGATCAACATACCTCCAAAGCTCCTTTACTGGACTATATTTATAGAGTGAGTATGAGGAATGAGCATGATTTATTGTCTAGATGTTTAAAGATGCCTTTCACAGCTCCTCGTAGGCACAGAAGCATTTTTAGCGAAGTGTGGAAAATTCTGTGGGCAGAAGTCGTACAGGTGAGGAGTTAAGAATGTAAAATGTTGGTAAGATCAGAGATGTAGAATAGAGAGAGGATGGTGAAGAAGAGAAAGGTGAAATGCTTAAAACAATGATCCAGGGAAAATAATCTTTGCAGAAATATTTAACTGATTTGAAACGGCCTGTTAAAATGCAAAATAAGCCCTGAAGTGAGCAAGTGCTCGCAAAGAATGTTATTTAGACATACTTTTTTTTTTTTTTTTTTTTGTAGTATGTCTGGGCTTTCACAAAATAGAAATTATGGTGGGTTACTCCTGGCTGAATGTGTTTAAGAGGGTGCTGTAATGTACACTTTACCCAGTGCCGTGCTGCTCTGCTGGCAGGTCCTGCACTGCTGTGTGAATGGCTCCAGCACGTACACTCAGCAAAGCCACTACGTGCTGAGCCTGGCAGATCTCTCCTCCAGTGACTACGACCCATTTTTGCGACTTGGGAACGTCAAGAGCTCTGAGCCAGCCCAGTGCCACTCCTCCACGGATCTGGGCAACCTGCTCACTGTCGCCGAGGGTAAGAGAGCTCGCAGAGGGTGGGTGAGGACCAGCATCTCAACGTTCAGCCTTGGGGAAACAGAGCTTTCCAGCTTACATTTCTTCCGTGGAAGTGTGCTTCTCCTTACTCTGTGTAGGAGTACTGGGCAGTGCCCTTTTCTAAAAGAATCACCACAGAATCACAGAATTGTGGTGGTTGGAAGGGACCTCAGAGATCGAGTCCAACCACAAAAACAGAAAAACAAAAACAAAAAAAACCCAACACACCACCCACCACCTAAACACACAACAACAACCAAACCAAAAAACCATCACCCACCCACTCAGCAGCCCACGACAAACCAATAATCTTGGGCACTAGAGCATGCCCTGAAGAGCCATGTCTACACGTTTCTTAAATACCTCCAGGGATGGTGACTCCACCACCTCCCTGGGCAGCCCATTCCAATGCCTGATAACCCTTTCAGTAAAGAAATGTTTCCTAATATCTAACCTGAACTTCCCCTGGCGTAACTTGAAGCCATTGCCCCTTGTCCTGACATCTGTAAGAGTTTCAGTTGCCTCGCTAATAGGGTGTTTGAGTGTGTGGCTGACATTGGTCCTTACGAAGCTCACAGGAGAAAGACGATGACGCGAAGGTGCTGTAGAGCAAGAAATCTGTACAGAGATAGGATAGACTGAGAAGCTGGTTTTGCCTTTGGTACTACTTGTAATTTAGTATATAGAATTAAATTAGTTTATAGAATTAAAGTCAATAAATAAGCCCCAAACCAAACTTCTTTCAGAAGCACGCAGCTGCCCTGCTTGAATTTTTTCCACAGAAATTACCCTGTTGTCATAGATCATTTGCCTGTTCGGAGTGATTTGAGAAGAACATGTATGATTTGGAACAAATTCTGCAACTGCATAAAAATGCCATTCCTGCCAATTCACAATCTACCTGGGTCAAAAGTCGAACGAGATTATTTGGACCTAGGTACATTATGTTACTGGCTTTTAAAGTCAACTTGAAAGTACGCATCCAAACATAGGAAATAAATTATTTCTAAGTGATTCACTGCAGAGATCATCTTTATTTCAAACACTTGTTAAAAATATCCTTTAAAACAATGGCTGTTCCACTATGAATTAAGAACATTTTAAGTAATTTTCTTTATTAATATGCATTAACATATTGCTGTAGAAGAATTGCAAATAGAAATGCAATATTAAGTTGTGCAATATATTGTTCTATCGGCAGTGATGCTTTCAAATAGTATTTTCAGAATTTAATACCGTACTATTTTTCAGTCCTACCGCCTATTTTCTTTGGTTTTGGGTATGTACTTTTAGTTTTAACAAAAAGGTTAACAATATTAAAGCCTGTTCTCTGCAGATTTCTTGCCAAGTATTGTGAATAGCATAAAGTTACTTATCGGGTACATTTGTCATTTTAGGTGTAACAAGATGTTTCTCATCTTGGATGTGTTAGTGCCCTACAAGCTCTCTGGTTTGTTTTTGAAAAAGATTAATTCAAAGATTTGCTACTGGAAGATTCAGGAAAAGAATAAAGAACCTTTTTTATGAGAGGAGGCTGAAGAATTTTGGCTTTTTGGTGCTAGCAAAAGGCTGAAAAGGGAATATACCTGTCATTTAAAAGTGCATTAGAAGGTATAAATACCAAGGAAAGAGAAAAACACTATAAGCTACAAAAGAATTATTTTAAACTGAATACAAACAAAACCTGGAAATAGAAGATTTCTGGCTATAAAGGGGGTAATATTCTGGAATAATATTCCAGCAGGGGAAGTGGAGTCACAAGATAACTCAGAGCGTGATTGATTTATGAAATAACTGATGTATTTGCCTGCGCTGAGGGGAGCATCTTGGAATCTGAAAATTCTTCCTGCCTCATGCAACAAACTTTACCACCGTGCTGCTAAAGATGGAGAAACAATGGTTTTTAGTTGCCTCTTTTGATTTACCTTTGCTTCTTGTGCCCTGTCCCTGTCTTGCTATGGTTGCTGTGGGGGTGACTGTGGGAATACAGGCAGTCAGGAGAAACACCTGGACCTGCCAGGTGAAACTGTAGTGACAGCAGGTGTTGTGGGATTGGTGTGAAGGACTTTTTATATGGTGTATGGAGTCCTGGGTGTGTCTGTAGGTTAAAATGTCAAAGGACGTGTGGTAAAATTTAAAAAAAAAAAAAAAAAAAAAGGAAGTGTGACAGGTAGAATTTCTTGGAAAGTGATGGTAAGTAGCTCCTTGAACAGGAAGGATTAGGAGGACAATTAAGGCAAGCTTCTGAAATGTGACAGAAATTTGCCAATGCTCTTTTTAGTTCCCTTTGGCTGCTCTTACTGATCTATTATCTTTTCATTGATCATTCCAGAAAAAAGGAGGAGGAATTTAGAATTGATACCTTTAACGGCGCGGATGGTTATGACTCACTTGGTGAATCACCTGAGCCACTACCCCCTCAGCGGAGGCCCTGCCATTCTCCACAGTCTGCTTAGTGAGAACCACGACAACTCCTACGTGGAGTCCTCGGAGCTGTCCTCAGAAGTCTTCCGGAGTCCCAACCTGCAGCTCTTTGTGTTTAATGACAGTACTCTGATATCTTACCTCCAAATCCCCGCCGAGAAGAAGGCGGACGCTGAACCAGCCACATCCCCCTCAGACGTAAGAGTAATTGTTAGAGACATCTCAGGGAAGTACTCTTGGGATGGCAGAATATTGTATGGACCTTTGGAGGGCTGCCTTCCGCGGCAGAGCCCAACGAATGCGTTTGTGATCTCAGGCAACCCTGAACACCACTTCATTTCCCAGAAAGACATTTCTCAGGTGGAAGAAGGAGAAGACGCACTTGACCAGTTGCTGGAAAAGATTGGTAACACCAGTCCTGAATGCCTTTTACATCCCGAGCGAAAGCTGAATGAGCCGTCACCACCACCCTTTGGTATGAGCTATGACCAAGAAAATGCCATCACTGAAGCCCTGATGAGGCAGAGTGCCCAGGAAAAGGAATATATATTTAAATGCAGCTCGGACTTGAGTATGAAGGTTGCCCACCAAGAAGAACCACGTCCTGCTGAACCTCAAGCGTCCTTTTATTTCTGTCGGCAGCTGCTAAATGACTTGGGAATGAACTCCTGGGATAGAAGGTAGGAAGAGAGGATTCAGAACACGTTTACCGTGCTCTTACTCTTCTCACTTCTACCACTAAACGTTAATGCACTTAAGAAAGCCAGAATTAAATAGTTGGGTGGTAGTCAGAGCGTGCTTCTGAGCTTTTACATATACCTGCTTCAGTGATTATTTTAAATAGCTGCAGATTGTTTATAATAATAAGAAGAAAAAATAATTTGGGTCTTGCAAATTTGATTCCCTTCTCTTAGGTATTTGAATGAGAAAGTACTGTTTCAGTACTATGTTCCATTCTCCTTCAAATCTTTTTTTTTTTTTTAATATGTTTATAGGAAAAGCTTTCATCTTCTTAAGAAAAATTCAAAATTACTGCGAGAACTGAAAAATCTGGATTCCCGTCAATGGTAAATAATGTTTACTAAACACCCTATTGATAAGGTTAGCATTTCCAAAGAATGAATAAGGCCATCTGCAAAACCAAAAATTCATTAAAATAGCAGGTGCTAGAAATACAAATATTTGTATGAAAAATGGATTGTTTGTTTCTGAAGAGATCTGTATCCTGAACTGCCAAGCTATTTTCACTGGTACTGTATACATAGAATTCAAAATCAGTAGTAAATAATAAGAGACAGCAACCTATTTCCTGTTTTCTTTTGCTGGGAGGGTTGGGAAGAAGTTACAAAATTTTGTGTGACTGTGGCTCAACCCACACAAAGAACTGTTTCCTGCTGGATGATCCTTGTGTCAAGAGCAGTATTTTAATGGGTAATCTCCATACAACTCCTCTACAGACAGGTAGTGGCAGAATGAAGTTCTGAATATTCTGTTTTAATTTTCATTACTTGACATACAGCTATTTGCAATGCTGCAGACGTTTTTTCAGAGTTCCAATTTTCTTGTATCCCAACAGTTTTGATATCAGATCCACTCGGTTGTTTTCAAAGGCGACAACTGTCAACCTTGTCAAACTGAATCCAGGATCTGAAAGTCAACAATGTTTTTTCTTTCTTGTATATCATCACTCTATAATTAAAATTCTGTAGGTCAATTTATGCTCCTATTAACACCTGCGCAATCTTACTGTCTTTGGCAGGGTTGCACAGATGTAGGTGATTAACCCTCTAATTGGAACTTGGTCATCAATTCTTTTGCTGGTGCACAGATGACCTGCAGTGGGGTCATGGGGGAAAAATTCGGTTGAAAATACATTTCTGCACCTGAAATGGAGAGAAGTATTTGTGTGCCTAAGAGAGACAGATACGTAGAGTTAAGCGTGGTCACCTGCTCGTGGCCTTTGAGTGCGGGTGTTGTAAAAAATAATTTCGAGCTGAAACTTTTTTAACTTCTGTTTCTTTTTATATCTTCGTTCCAGCCGTGAAACTCACAAGATTGCAGTGTTTTACATTGCTGAAGGACAGGAGGACAAATGTTCGATACTGTCCAACGCAAGGGGAAGCCAGGCATATGAAGATTTTGTTGCTGGACTGGGCTGGGAGGTAATAGTCATAAATTTAGGGGAGCTAACATACTTGATGGGAAGACCTACGAAAAATCACTGTAAGCCGATTAAAATAGGCAAATAGAAAACAAACTGCTTATATCACTGCATATTTTTTAATTCTCAAAATTCAAAAAGAGATAAATTTTAATACACACCAATATTTAGCGGTACTTAAAAGATCACCTTTTCAGCAGAAGTCTGTAAGTCTACATCCTACTTCTGGTTGAACACATCTGTCCTCTTTCTGATGGGCGGGTGGTGCTGCAGTGGACACTTCTGTTTTCTGCATCATCAAGAGCCGTAGCTTAATTTTACCTTCATTTTAGCTTCTTGTAGCTCTTCACATGCTCAGACCACTTACCCAACTGCATCACTGCTTTAGGAAGGACAAAAACGTTTGGGTTTATTTTGCATTGTTGAAATGGTGTGTCAGTAACCTAAATGACGTGAACACTTACGTGTTTTGGAGATACATTCCATGTTTAAGTATTTACGTGAGGTGAGGTCTGTAGGGAGAGGTAGCATCCTCAGGCTGATGCAGTTGGGGAAACAAACAAGCCTTTGTTCAGAGAGGCATTTTTTTCCGAATAATTTTCTAGACTTGTTTCTCATAAGGTTTTTCTTTTTGTACAGGTCTTCAATTTCTTTTTCAAATTTTCCGATTTTATTTTTTTTTTATATATATATTTTGTCTGCACTTTATTTCTCTCTGTGTGTGCTTTGAGTGGGCTTGCTGAGCCGTGCGCAGCCCTTAGAGCAGCTGCACGTGACAGAATGCTTTTGCTTCCTTGTTGTCTGCTGGAAGAAAGGTAAAATAGCCATATAGATAATGACTCAGTACCCAGTTAAGAGATGTCTACTTTTAGTAAATGTCAAATACAGGAATGGAAAACAAGAGAGATCTAATGTAAAGATCACAAACCCATAGGGAAGGACTTCTCTTTCTCTGGGACGGCTACAGAATTCTAGAGTGGTAAATCGACCAAGTCCTGATATATCAATAAATACTGGTTATTCCTCGGTGTTTTCAGATTTCTCCTGATTGTGACTGTCAATCCCTCAGGTTGATCTCTCGACACATGGTGGTTTTATGGGCGGCCTGCAGCGCAATGGCAGCACGGGACAAACGGCACCCTATTACGCTACCTCCACCGTGGAAATCATTTTTCACGTGTCTACAAGAATGCCATCGGATTCAGACGATTCGCTGACCAAAAAGGTGAGTCATTGGCTGTGTATTTCAAAAACGTTCTCTGTAGTCTTCAAGTGCTTAAATTAAAGTTTAAACTGAAAACAGATTGTGCTAACTGGTCCTAGCAGGCCATCTTTGCTGTGCCACATGGTGCTCTGCAGCTAGATTATCTGAATTAAATGGCATCTAAATTCTGGATTCTAAAACACAATTAACATTTCCATGGTAGCCTCAAATACCCCCATTAGTAATAATATTAGCAATAATTCCATTTGTATGTTGTCTGCCTGCCAAAACTGTTGTAGTTCGGTAGAACAAAACAACCAAATGCGACATAATAAAACCTTACAGATGAATCGTCCAGCCTGTAACAGAAAAGAAAAGAAGTGAAAGAGAAGTGACAAGCAGGGTACCAAAAGCAGCCAGCTGATATTTAAAGCCATTATCCAGTTATTCACAATTCTGACAAGCAGACTCTGCTTCAAAGATGGCCAGAACCCAGCCCAAAATTTTGTTGGTATCAGTACTTAATCATTTGTCTTTCCTAACAAGGAGTGATTTGAGATTATGGTGCTTGCCAACTGCTGCTTAGAGTCAAAGAAGGTTTTAGGTACATACCGAATCTTTGCCTTTTTAATTAGGATTGGCAACTTGTCCTACATAGGCTGTTAATGTGTGCTAGTAATGCTACTACAGCCATCCAGTCTACCATGTGATACTATTGTGCTCTGAAAATTATCTATAAGTATGTCACTGGGTGATTGTATTTGTTGTCCAGCTAGTTTCAAAATAACGTGCGTTTCCTCGAAATGAAAAGGTGGTATTTCTGCTTACCAGTCCTGCAGCCTTGCCCAGCACTGCGCTTACCAGTAAAGCTAGATCCTTTTGTATTTGTGATATCTGTCATTAAAAAAAGTAGTCAACAAAAGTACATGTTTCTCTTTATGTATGCAACTCATTGTCTTCGTGCTAGTGGATTTACATGGCTATGGGGAAAAAAATTCTAATCTGAGTACTTTGGGATAGAGAAGTAGGGCTGTGGTGCATATTAAGAGGCTGTACAGTCTCTATCAATTTACTAAGGTAGGACTATCTGTATTTTTATTGTTCCTGGCCAGTATTTATCTAGCTGCTAGTTAAGAACTCCAGTGATGAATGCTTTACAGTTTCCCTGGGCAACGTATTCCTCTGCTCCACTTCTTGTACCATGAGAAGATTTCTTGTAGCATATGCTTTTTTCCAGTTGAAGCCCATTTATTCTTACCCTATTCCACATGGATATGGAGAACAGATCGTTTTGCAGCAGGCTTAGTCATGTTTGAGAACTGCTACCATGTCTTTCCCAGTCTTCTTTTTCCTACACAAATTGTGGTCGTTTAGTCTAATCTTCCCTCGTAAGTCATAGCTCCAGGATTTTATGGAAGTGTAGCAAAGGCAGTGAAATATCATTTAGCTGTTGAGTAATACATCATCTGGAAGAGGCGCAGTCTGACAGAGCTACCACAAAGGGAAAAATGGGTTTTAATTGCAAACAGTCTATTTTACTAATTCTCCTAATTCCCACCCACGTTAGGGATTAACACAGACATTGAGAGAGTCTGGTTATTCTACTTAATTGTCTTCCCTCTGTTTGCTTTAAGAGAATTCTTCTTTGTGGAAAAAGAAAAAGCAAAAGCATTTAGTGGTTGCCAACCTCAAAGTCTTAAAGTGCTAGGAAACAAGGCAAGCTCCAGTATATATTATCCACAGAAAATAGTGCAAAGTAATTGCCTTAAGACTTTAAAAAAAAACAAAAACCAACAACCAACCAGCCTTAAATCTGCTATAGGAATGGAACCCTGCAGGGATCAAACTGTGTATTCCTGTAAAGAAAGACAAAGCTCTGAGCAACCTAATGGACCTCAGGAGCTGGCCCTGCTGTAAGCAGTGGGCTGGACCAGATGACTTCCAGAGGTCTTTTTTTAATGTATAATCTTTTGTGGTTCCACGCTTCTGCACAGAACAGTTTTGTTTCATTTGGCACAGCACTTTTGTTAGCAGGTGTGGATTTCTGTCCAAATTTGCATAGACTTCTCAACAAATTTTACAAAAGTGCAGCAACGAGTGGACACAAGACACATTTCAGAAGCAGTGTAAGCTTTCTGGGAGATTGATAGTTCTCTAATTCTTTGAAAATGCTGATGTATGAACCAGCCTGTGTTTGAAACCAATGTTTCAAGCATGAGGGTATAGCCAAATAATTTCTCAAAGACGGCATCCTGGAAGAATTCTTATAACCCTAAAAGTGTCAATTTGTTGACTTTTCACTTATGAACCTTAGCTGCAGAGGAGAGGAAATACGTCAAGGCAAGTACATCGATGCTTTAGCAGCAAAATCTCTCAATCCACAGAAGTCCTGTGTTGATTTTGGTAGCCGATGCGTGTGCAGACCACGACCGGTGTGTGTGCTTGAAAAGAAATGTGGGCCTGCCTGCAACATGCACTTAAACCAGAGGAAAATGTATTTATTTCCCTCAACACTTAACACTGCCCCTGTGAATTCTGCAGAGTTAACGGAATTGTAGCAAAATGCAGCGTTTTTTTCCAAAATCGTGGTAACTCTCAAGATGGTCACAAGTATTTTCATGCTTCCCCTTGCTCCCTGAAGAGCTGGTGTGTGCTGGGCTTATGCCTCACCTCCTGTGATTGGGGCGGTGTATGTTGCTTAAAAAGATTATTTTACATTTATTACTTCTTTCTGTTAATGTCGCTTTTTCAAGCAGGTGCTGCGATAGAATTATAGATGGTGTTAGAGGACAATATTTCTGGGAGGAGAAAATGTTATCTTGTTGCCAATCGGGATGCAGCGGGGGGCCACAACTTTGGTTTTTTTCTTGCCTTCCCCCTGCTTCCATCAGATATTGCACGGATACTATCTGGGATCTAAGCCCTCCCCCCCCCCCCCCCCCCCCCCCCTCTCCACATCTGTTCTCTGTTAGGCTGCCTCACACGCAGGAGAAACAGGCAGCGTCTGAGAACGCCGGTGCTGAGATCCAGCCCAGCCTCTCCCCCCACCCCGGGGTCACCAGGAGAGGGAATTTCAGGGAATTTTCACTTGTCTGGTCCAAAAAAGAGTCTTCAGTTCTTCCTGCTCTTCACCCCCCCCCCCCCCCCCCCCCTCCCCGTCTCTGAAATCTTTGTCACTTCTGTGGCTTCTTCTCTGCTTATTTTGCCTACAGACAGGCAGAAAGAATTCAATACCAATCAGTGCGCTTGGCTCACAAGCTCCGGAGCTGAACAGAAGGTCTTACCACCTGCTGGCCAAGGAAGTAGTGCAGCAGGCCATAAATTCTGTGAGCTGGGGAATTAAGCAGATGCAGTAATTTTACTTAAATATGTTATTATGGGTCTTTATTTTTACTGACCACAAGAGGGTAAATTCCTTTCTGATATAAATTTACAAGAATAAGTGCACTTACACTGAGGGTGAACTTGGCCCCTTATTTTTGTGCAGTACAGTTGTAATTTGCACTTTGTGTTCCTTTATTTGAAGTATATGCTGGCATATTATATTGCTCATGGGGAGGGGGGAGAAAGCGGAAGAAAAAAACCTCTCCAAATAAGTCTTAGCCTTGAAAAAAATCTTTTTCTAGGGGAATAATCAAAATTCAGCTGTTATATTTTTGCTGCTGTAGGGTTCAGCATCATTGGTTCTAAACTTTTTTTTTTTTTATCTGGCTGCCTTGTGGCAGGAATGAAAATCAATCATAGTAACAGCATCCGACCATCCCCTGCCTTGTTCTAGCTAAATTGTACCTAACGCTTTAAAAACGAGCTGCAAAATTTTTAAGTGATTTATTCCAGCTTCTCCATTGTCATAGCAGAACTTTTGCCGCTTCAGAAATCTGGTTGCAACCCCATACTGAACTCTTGCTCCTTCGCCGCAGAAATTTGTTAGCTGGGGCTAGATTAGATTTTTAGCAGCTAATCTAACTGCTGTAGGGGTTTGCAAAGTGGGGACAGAGCTGTGCTATTGGATTTGTCCAATTCATTTGACTCCAGGACTATAATTGCACTTATGTCTTACAAGGCTTTTATAGCCTAGGGCTGGCGAGCAGCAGAAAAACAAATTGGCAGTGATACAGTAAGAGTGAAAGGGAATGAAAGGCACACATTATCAGTCTCCAGGCAGCGCTGCTCTGGCAGGAAGTTTCTCGGTTAATTTACAAATAAAACTTAGATTTTTTAGGATGGGTACACTGTCAGCCAGACAATGGGGATGTCAGGCCCGACTGTTACTTAGCAAAAGTAGCAGCCCTGCCTCCCCAAAAGCAGAAATTCTTCAGTCAAACAGACGACTCCTCTCTGGAGCCAGCTGGCTGTGTAATGCAATTAGCAGGGAAAGGAGGTCAGGCCATGAGGTGTGTACCGTGACCGGTGGCAGCGGCGGCGGCCTGTTGCCTGGCAAGGCAGCGCCCGGCCGCAGCCAGGGCAATGGGATGGGGGACTGGGAGGTGTGGGGGGGTAAAACCTTCCTTCCGAGGGCTTTGCTGGGGTGCAGGGGAGCGTGGGCGCTGGGTGAGCCCCCCCTGGGCTGCCCACCCGCCTCCTGTGCTCAGAAACACAGGCCCCACACCGTTCACAGCGGCCTGACGCACGGCAGGAGCCTCCATTGACCCGCCGGCCCGGCCCTCAACGCTCGGCGCAGCCCAGAATCTATATATTTCCTTCCTGTTGGAGAAACCCCTTTTTCGTGCAGGCTAAAAATTCACGCCCGCTCAGGTAGGAGAAGGCAATTGCCATCTCAGGAGCTGCCTTCCCTGAGCGTTTGTAGAGAGATCCTTCAAGTCAGCAATAAACCGTAGAAAATCCGGCTGCTTGTGGTTGAGCTGTTCCGTGGCTTGGGTTTGCTTTTTAATATAGATCTTTTATGTGCAGGCTAAAAATTCACGCCCGCTCAGGTAATATTTCGTTCCTGTTGGAGAAACCCCTTTTATGTGCAGGCTAAAAATTCACGCCCGCTCGGGGAGAAGGCAATTGCCATCTCAGGAGCTGCCTTCCCTGAGCGTTTGTAGAGAGATCCTTCAAGTCAGCAATAAACCGTAGAAAATCCGGCTGCTTGTGGTTGAGCTGTTCCGTGGCTTGGGTTTGCTTTTTAATATAGATCTTATTTCCTGGCTGCTTTGGGATTTTTTTTTTAACGCACTCTATTTTATTTTTATTTCCCCCCCACCCCTAAACTGGACGAAAAGCGTAATGTGGGACGCTGGCTCCAAATCCATGGTCTGTCGTGCTTTGGACCTTTCAGCAAAACTTATGTCCTTCAGGGAACCGAGTTCTGCTCCACAGCTTATATTTTGAGGGAGCCATACAGGAAAACAGCAGCTGGTTGGTCGTCATTGATAATCTTATTATAACGTGCTGCTTTTTTTTTTTTTTATCAGTGAAATGCTCTTTCAAGAACAAATATTGTTAATACCATTTTTGTATCTGTAACATTATACCTTGTCCATGCAATGGTCAGGCACGTGTGACTTCCAAACAAGGAGAGGGAGTAACTCGAGCTTTAAAATGAGTTACCAGCGTGTGATGAGGATTGTGGCAAAGGTACCAATTTATTATCACACATTGTTTGCCAGATTTTGAGCTCATAGCCATCACTTCTGGTCTCAAACAAGCATCGGTTCATCCACCTTCTCCCTGTTAAGGGAATTCTGTCCTTTTGGGTGTGATATAGGTACAGAATATTTTGGGATTCTTTAGTATTTATTATCAAAACAGTTCCTTGCGATTTCAAAAGGGTCTCCGAAGGAGTATTTGGAAATGTTTTGATTGCTGTTTTTAGTGATAACGTGCTATTTATCCCTCCAAAAGCAGTAGGAGGCAAGGCAGCACGGAGCCTTTTCTGCAGGGTTTGTTTTTTGTAGAAAGAAGAGCTGGATTTGGTCCCTGAGTCGCCCCGTGCAACCGGACAATTGCATCACCTTATGGAAATCTGGTTCCATATTTATTTGCTGGGTGTTTTGTTGTTTTTTTTTAAAAACAGAGGTTGCTAAATACTGCCGTGGTGGGCTCCCTCTGTGTTGCAGAGCCCGTGCCAGAACTCGCTCTGGTCTCAGGATGCCTTGGGTTCAGCCTGATGAAGGGTGGGCTGCTCTGAATACAGCTGCTGCTGCTGCGAGCTGGGTCCTTCCCTCGCTCAGCCCTCGCCGAAAATTACAGCTCGAAACAGCCTTTGCCAAACACTTGCACCCGCAGGATGTGTAACCTGTTGTGCAAAGTATTGTAGCCGGATGGATTTTCCCTTTTTTTTTTTTTTTAAGGCTAAACGTGACATCTTGCCTTTTAATCGCTTTTAAGGTGACCTCGCTGCGTTTGTTAACAGAAAGTGAAATCAGGGCTTTGTCCTACGTGTGAATTACTGCTTAGCTTTGTATGTATCAGTCTGCACCCTGTTATTATCAACATCAATATTTTCTCGGCTGTTGCTTTATTTTTTACTGAGCAATTAAGAAAATATCAGAGAATGCACAGAGGTCAGGATGACAAGGACAGCAACAATTTTTACTGATTTTTTTACATGTAAGAAGCCCTAGTAATAGTATTATTAATGTTTCCCTGTTTTTATGAAATACAAATGGTTTATATTTTCTTCAAACAGAACCAAAATTATCTTTCATTCATAGGTGTAAATAAAATAAAGCTCTTTATAATCTCTTTCATTTGAAACAAATTGAAAAATGAAGTCTTTATTTTACTCTGCTAGGGTATAAACTGTAAGCAAGGTTTGTAGTCTTTAACTTTTTAATTCTTGTATCATGTTTTTTGTTCTTGCAATGTTTCGTGTTTCCTCTTACAGCTAGGGAACAGTTTGCCACTCAATCCTTTTAAGATTGAAATCCTTTACTTTTTAAGGTGCCTACCAGGTTCTGAGGGAGGAAAATTCAGTGGTGTAGGCTGATAGGAGGTGCGTGGAGATTACTCAGTTGTTATGTACCCATGAAAATCACTACCTTTTTTTTCCCTCTCTCCCCTCGCCCTCCCCGGCCACGCACAGAGACAGTGAAGAAGGCAGAGCTACATTTTGGCTTCTTTGTTAGGTCTATTGTGCACATTGTTCCAGGGGCTAGCACCAAATTGGGGGGGTGGTCTTTTAAGCTTTAAGTGGGACTTAAATTCTCTTTTATGCTTTGGGCTGACAATTCTGCATGTGGATTAAATTTTAACTTTCAAGCTTACAGTCGAAACTATTGTGTGTAGCTTGTACGTGATTGCCAAATACTTTTTGCCATCTGTTAGATCACCTCCAGTTCCTCCCGTAACAAAGCAAACACACAGGCTTTCAGATGCTTTTTGTGTGTGTCACGTTTAAGTTTTATCCATATTTTGTGTGCTTCTGCTCCAAATACAAAAAAAAAAACCAAAAAAACAAACCAAAACAAAAAACTCCCACAGTATTTCCCATTCCTCTCAAATTCGCGTTGCCCAGGATCTTTTGCTTAAGTTTTCAAACAGAAGTCCTCTCTGCCCAGAGTTGGCAAAGGGGATACTTGTAATGTAATAAATTCAGTAAGAGTTGTTCATGATGGGAAGTTTCCTGACATCCTGAGTCAAGGCATTTCATATTTCTGAGATGGCTACATTATTTTGTCTGGAATATGGTGTTCTGTTGGTTACTGTTTTGTTCTACTAATTCAGATTTCCATCTTGAATTGTTGTAGGTAATGTACATTTACATATTGTGCTAATGGCTAGTTTGATAATTACTTAATTAAGCCATCAGACAACAATGCATTCTGAATGAAGCAAATTATTTCGCTGATCTTTTCACGAGCAACTGGAGAAAAACAGTATTTTAACTTTTTTCTGTAATGAAATATTTCTACTATTGAGCATTGTAATTCAATTTGTAAGCCATGACCCCTCATAAACTGTTGTTATCACTCTGATTAATAAAGAGCCAATTTGCTGTTGCAGCTTCGTCACTTGGGAAATGACGAGGTTCACATCGTCTGGTCTGAACACACCAGGAACTACCGCAGGGGCATTATACCAACAGATTTTGGAGATGTTTTGATTGTTATTTATCCAATGAAGAATCACATGTTTTTCATAGAGGTCATGAAGAAACCAGAGGTATGTTTTGGCTGCTTTATTGCATCTAGCATGTGTGTTAGGCAAGTGACCAACAGTTCTCTTGCTTAAATAAAACTCAGTGGTTTAGAGTTCGGGGTTGTTTTTTTGTTGGTTTTTTTTTTTTTTTTCCAGCAAATACAAAATACAGTCTGTTCATCTCCGTTTAAAAGTATGCTGAGCGATGCGCTTTTATTTTAAAACTAGAATTACTAATAGTGATGGAAATGGCTGCTAATTCACTTGTAGTCGTGCCTAGCGCTTAAAGAAATATTTCAAAATTCTCAACCTATAGGAGTTATTTTACAATGAACAACGTTTATAATCATTGTGAATTTCCAACGTGAGTTAATAGAAGCAAAATAATAAAGATTTAAGTTCCTCAGTTGCTATTTAATTCACTCCATAAGGTTTAGTTGCCTTTGTACCTATGGTACTGTGCATAGCCTTACGTGATTTTGGGACCCTCATCGTAATCTGACTCAACGGGATGATGTAGGCATTAGATAGTTTTACACTGAAGTATTTCAGGTTTAGTATTTTGTGTTCAAATCATTGGTTTGCAACCACATTTTAGACTTTTTTTTTAAATAATGGGTTATTTTTTTGGAAAATGTCAGAGGGGTATGTGTGTATGTGTTTAAAAAACTACTTTAATAAATGCTTGTCTGGTACATTATGGATGCAAAAATGCATATAAAGTACAAAAGTAATGAGTGTGATAAATTTCCCTTATATAAGGGACACAATTTATCCAAAAGAATATCCAGCTGTGGAAGAATGTGTATGTGGGTTGACATATTTACCAGCTGTATATAATATTTTTCCAGTTGTGAATGCCAGAAGTATTATATATTAACAAGCAGTGGTTTGCCAGTAGACGCCTCAAACTTGCAAATTTGTTATAAATTGAAATAGAGGGTTTTTTTCCTACGCTTGCTTGTGAGGTCTGTAATTTCCTTCTTGGGAATTTTAGCTTTTAATGTTCCATCAGGAAAATCTGAATTTAGCGTTCTGAACGTGCTTGAAAATTCTGTGAACCAATGGAGAAAAGCTATGTCATCTTACATATTAGTCAAAAATACCCAACGGGCAGAAAGAATAATAGCTAACTGGAAATTTAGTGTTATCCCTACATTTAAAGTACAAACCATTACAATGTAATAAAATTAATCCAGACATTTCCAGGGCAAGTGTGGCTGACCTTTTGTTCACCAGCTACTGACCCCAGGGTGAATGAAAGAGGCTTGCAGAGAGAAATGTCTGTTGTTTGGCTTCAGTCCCTGGTATTTAAATTGCATTCCCTAATCAAATGAAAAGGCTGTCCTCTCTATCAGGTTACAGAATCCATGGCAACATTTGGCCTTTTATATACATAATGTTAGCCTTTTTGTTTGCATCTAAGTAGAGACACCTGGAGCAATGTTAACATTAACCGATTTAGCATTAATAGCTTCATTATATAAGAATTTCTGATCAGATAGCTGTTACTTTTGTTATATTGCTTCAGCTTGTATTGTTTTCATTTTTTATCTCCCTGCTTGGCAACGGGGCAATGATTTGCAAATTTTTTTTGTCTTGATTAATTAAGCAATATAATTATCAGGAACCGTGATGCAGTCTTTGCTCGACAAAGCTTGGGAGGGAAGACAATAGTAAGTCTGTTAGTGTGAATGCATTCCACGCGTCACAGATGCATGAGGATATTCTGAACAATGAGACGAAAAGCTGCCTGCAAAAGAGGACAAAGAATGCCAGGCAGACTCTACACACTGCACATACCGCCAGGGACATACTGCGGGTTCCCTGGGACACAGATGCCTCGTTAGATTGCAGCTAGTCATCAGAGATTAATTCTCAGCCATTTGGTACAATAATTTACCCATTCCCCACTCTTTTAACTAGTGCTGCTTGCTATAGAGGGGACGGCTTTGTGCTCAAAAGGTTTATTTAACCTTGCCTACTTTTACTGCATGCAACAGAAATCATTATTTTATTTTATTTTTTTTTCCTTGGAAATCGTAACGAAGCAGGTGTTTGCAATGGGCTGAATATTAATTTTTGTTTCATGGATAACTTGCATTGACATTTGGAATACTCAAGGAAGGGAGTATTTCCCCTTTTTTTTTTTTTTAACTGATTCCCCTCAAAGCATAATTTTTTTTTTTTTTTTGTAACCATTCAAAACTCTTGTTTTCCTCAAATAGGTTTTTAGTAGCAACTTACAGAAAAGTACCGAGCGGGGAGCACGTCCCCAGTTGGTCTCTCCCCTCCAACTCCTCGTTAAGGCAGAGCCCCCTGTACAGATGGAAGCTGACGAGATGCGAGTTCCATTGACTTTAATGACCCTCGTCATGGCCGGTAGATCTGCTGGGGAATTAATAATTCCCAGCTTTGTGTCCAGGCGGGCGTACGGGCGGGTTGTGGTGCTCCTCGCATCGCAGCGGGCTCCACGGACCCCGAGCCTGCCCGGGGGGCAGCGAGGGCTCCCGGTGCCCCCCCTGCCCTAAGGCAGGGCAGCGACGCCTCGGCAGGTCTCCGGAGGGTCAGCCCCACACACGGAAAAGCCGTTCTTGGTTCTGGTTTCTTGTGGGTTACACTTGTTTTTCTTCGATAACGTTAAATCAGTCGCTCTCGCACCGAGTCACGTCCATCCTTTGCGTTATTTTCTCTCTTCGTCTGCCAGCGTGTGCCAACTTTGGGTTGTGAAAAGCGTGTGGTTTTTGACAAAACGCACGCCTAGGATGTGGTTTTTGAAACGATCTGTTTGATCGTTTGCACCGCACGTGGAAAAAGCCTGTCTCCAAATGTCACCAGAGGCACTGCGAAAAGCACCTTCCATGCGAAGGAAAGCTCCCAGGTTCTAGGGGTCAGCTTGAAGCAGCCTGTTTTTGTGTTCAAACGGAGCTCTAGAGTAAAGCAGCATTTATGGAGTTTGACTATTAAACTTTCGGAGAAAAGAGATTTTTAAACTTTTCGTTTTAAAATCTCAGACACGTTGGAGATATTTTTGATAAATCTTCTGGAGAGTGCCTACAAAGATATTTTTTTTTTTTTTTGTTAAATGTGAGCATATGTATTTATATACACAGACATATAAGGTCTGTTAAAATATATACATACCTTGTCTGTATTTTAAGTATATAGATTCTGTAATACTGTGTTAAGAAAATCTGCCACGCTCCCTAGGCTCCAGGTGGCTTTGAAACAGAGAAGCATAGTCCAGTAACTAAAAACTGCTCAACAGAAAGACTGACAATGAATTTCCCTGTACAGTAGCATATGTCAGTGCTAATCTGACTTTAAATATCTGGTATTTGTATGTTGGTATAATTTTAATGCTAGTATGTACTTAACCTCCTTTTTTGTACTTACATAAAAATATAGTTTTACATTTTTCTCCTCCTTTACTCAATATTTGCAAACGGTATGTGTTAAAAATTTAACTTAGAAATGTTATTGCTTAAAGAGGAAAAACTTCATTGTCTAGAACATTATCACTTTGGTGGCATAGTTTTTCTTCCTGTCACCTTTCTTTCCGACTGCCTAGACAGTAATGCTAGCATTTAAAAAAAAAAAAGGAAAAGGTAAGCCACTATGGAAACATTTTACACTAATCTGTTTTTTGGGAGGTGGGTAATTATTTTAAGTAAAGGAATGACAAAATAACTCTGTGAAAAGACAGCTGTCACTTGCAGATGTTATATTAAAACCAAATTTCTTCTGTAATTCATTGCCACTTCTAATTAGAGGAATTCCCTAGATGCAGGGGATTTATATTATTCCCTTTGTCCATTTATTGAATGACTGTCACAGTCACCCACAAGCAGTTGCAGAAGAATAATAGAGGGTATTTATTTATGTGATAAGCCTCTGTACAGATGGAAAAAATCCATAGCTTAAATATTGATAATTGCTGCTAGCTTTTGTTTAGGGTTTTGGTTGGGGCTTTTGTGTTTGGTTTGGTTGGGTTTTTTTTCATTTTGAGTTTCTGAAAGGGAAATGAGTTTGACTACTTGTAAATACTAAAATTTACTATATATTTGAACATTAACTTAATGGTTGGCCTTGATGATCTTAAAAGTCCCTTCCAGCCTAGACAGTTCTATTCTATGATTAAAATTTTCCTGAGTTTGACATGGCAAAGCCTGTTACATGTATGCAATTCTGGACATTTTTCACTTCTATAAAAGTGTCTCTTTTGCCTGGGATGGCCTTTATCTGAAGAGCCATATGTCACCAAATGACATTATGTGGTGGTTTCCTCTGGAGGTAACCCTGAAGGAACGGTGTTTTAACACCTTGTTTGTGCCTGTCCCAGCCATATTTTCAGGGAACTGCCTCTCAGGGGTGGTAGTTTTCTGCCATCTCCTCTGCTTTCCACAGAACTTGTTAGCCTGGATCAACTCAATTTTTAGTTTCTTTTTTTTTTTTTTCCTTTAGTGAAGTCCATGGAATGAGTTTATAGAGGATTATCTGAAACAAATACTTCTTTGCAAAACCTCCTGCCAATGTCGGATTCAGCCAGTAAATCAGGGCCTCCTCTTGGGACGCAAAACAGAATACAGCTTTTAGTATCTTCTCCAAATGGGATGGTGATTTCAAATTCGTAGACAAATTTTATTCATATGCATAAAAAAGTGCATGTTTACCCAGTTGAATATTCTGTGAAATGTGCATATATACATGTAAAATACACTGATGGTAATTATGGAAGATTTAAAAAAAAACATAACATAAAAACTTAACATAAAAAAATTGGGGGCTTAATATCACCCTGGAAGTTTCAGTGTGGAAAACAATGTGGTCCTACCATTTTATGGTAAAGTAATGTAGCGTGTTGGTCTTCTGTAGCGGGTCTGATGCGTGTTATTCCGAACATCACTAACACAGTGCAAGATGATACAGTAAAAGTTGTGCTGGCAAAGGTACCACCCCACCAACCGTGCCAACCTGGCTGGTCTGGCAAAGGTACCACCCCACCAACCGTGCCTGGTAATCACAGAATGACAGGTGGTTGGAAGGGACCTCTGGAGATCATCTAGTCCAGCCCTAGATGGTGGAAGGTAGATGATCTCCGGAGGTCCCTTCCAACCCCCTGCCAAAGCAGGTCCACCCAGAGCAGGTTGCACAGGAACGTATCCAGGTGGGGGTTGAATGTCTCCAGAGAAGGAGACTCCATCTTCTCTGCCTGGCCCTGAGCCTGCAGCCCATGGAGGTGGTTTGTTTCTGGGCTGTTCTGCTGTACTTGGAGGAGTCTCTTTGTGCCCATGATCTAGAGAGGAGGCCTGCAGCAAGCTAACACTTGTCATGTAGCCAGTGACTTCGCTGTCTAGAGTGGGCAATGTGAAACTTGCCTCCTCTTCCCTCCCTGGTGCCTTGCTCTGAAAGTCCCCTGGGAGCCAGGCATGTTGTTTCTGAAACTTTTGTTCGGAAGTTGCTCCCATGCTCTACGCTAACCTTTTGGCCTCCGTTGGCTCGGCTTTACGTGCCTTGTTTTTATTTTGGGATCCCCAGGTGCCGTTTTTTGGTCCTCTCTTCGACGGAGCCATCGTGACTGCCAAGCTGCTGCCCAGCCTCATATGTGCCACCTGCATCAACGCCAGCAGAGCCGTCAAGTCGCTCATCCCGCTCTACCAGAGCTTGTATCCTTTCCTCCTGCTGGGGCAGGGCTCCCTTTGGTAGGGTTCTGACTTGGCGATGTTCTTCTGAGGAGAGGTAAGCTGTAGTGAATATCCTTGCTGTGTGATTTTTACCGGGAAAGGTCAAAGCTTTCTCCACATCAAGCTCGATGTTTTCATTCACTCGCACCTGGTTGCCCTCCAGCCTTTGAAAAGTAAGATCATAACATCACAGGAGGGTTCTCACCAGCAGCTTCAGACAGACTCGCTGGTGGGTGGGCTTGGACTTTACACTGATGCTGTGACCTGTAAGTAATGATAATACTCCATTTTCTTTCACGCTACTAGAAGTTACCTACAGTGTGTATTGGGCTAATACACAAAGCTCAGTCATATTCTTGCCTTATTCAAAGTAGTGTTCCCATTGACTTTACTGGGACTCGTTACGTTAATAGGACAGATGGGATTTGGCCTCAGATACGGATGTTTCAGTTCCCAAATTCCAGTTTCATTCCAGTGATGTCTGTGTTTGGGCATTTTCAGAACATATTTTCTAACAGTTGCTGGAAGATGACTTGATGGTATGCTTCTCTGTTACAGAAATTGTAGCATAGGCTTTTTTTTCTTGTGTGATACACAAACCAACAGCGATATTGCTGGGTTTCACTTGTTCTAGGATTTTCTCGTAATGCTATAATTATGGGAGAAACATTTTGTAGCTTGTTTTGTTAATCGTACCACTTATCTTAGAACCAACACACACTGCGCTTTTTCTTTGGGGAAGCTTTGGATTCGAGTGTTTTTCAAACCGTGTGACTTTGAGAAAGAGTTTGTAAATGAAGTGTTTTGATCTTTGACAGAACAGAACAAAATATCCTCAAAATATTGTTGGGTTTTTTTTTAAAGGCTAAATTTTTATCCAGTATACTTTGCGGAAGTCTTCAGAAATTAAAAGTAGCGTTGTGGTTAAATAAGTTTGTATTTTATTAACTTAATTGTGCACTCACTTTAAAAGGAAGACGGTGGTGGTTGCATAAGCAGTTGAATGCAATGCATCAGCTGCAAAACAGTGGTAATACCTAACAGGTGATTCCAAACTTGCCAAGTTTTCCTCGTCTTTTTGCTGAGAGAAATCTAGCTAATTACTAAAATTCTCCTATGCAGAATTTAGCTTAATCCGTCTGCTTCTATAGTCAATGTATAATAATAATAATAAAATACCAGTGTAATAAAATTAACGTAACAGCAGTTACAAGAATGATGAGATCCTGTTGCCCCTGATGGCTATCCCAGAGCATCGCTCCCAGTTGGGATTCTTATCCCTCATCCTGCTCGTCCTTTGGCTTTTTTTTGGTCTCTCTGGGTCCCTCCTTGTCCCCAGGGAAAGACGAGCAGCACAAATATGACAGCACGTGCCACTTCTCAGCACATGTTTGAGGTCGAGCTGCAGCAGCATCTGTCCCCGGATTCTTTTCTTCCCTTTTTTTTGTGCCTGCTTTTTTTGCACCAGCGATATCTGTAGTGAATCAACTGCCGCTTGTCTGTTTGATAAACAAAAGTGGATTGAGAAACTTGTGAAACTGGACAAAGATAACGGGGTGGGTAGATCCCACCAGGACAACACTGGAGTGGGAAAGCAATAAACACTTTTAGATATGCTAAAATTCTTCATGAGCCAGAAATTGGAATGTACATGGAGGTGTAAAGGTGGTGGTTGAAGCCATCCCATGCACTGACACTGCTCTGTTGCTCCCAAAGGAGAGCCCTGGTGTTTCCTTTGCTGACCGCTGATGAAAATAACTCGAAGGTGAGGAAACTCAAAAAAATCTCGATAGAAGGGAGAATCACAGAATCACAGAATCTTCTAGGTTGGAAGGGACCTTAAAGATCATCTTGTCCAACCATCAACCTAACTGACAAAAATAGACACCCACACAACAAACAAGGAGCATCATCACTAAACCATCCCTCCCAGCACTACATCAACCCGGCTTTTGAACACCTCCAGGGATGGGGCCTCAACCACCTCCCTGGGCAGCCCATTCCAATGCCTGAGAACCCTTTCAGTGAAAAAATTTTTCCTAATATCCAGCCTGAACCTCCCCTGGCGCAACTTGAGGCCATTTCCTCTTGTCCTGTCGCCTGTGACTTGGGAGAAAAGAGACCGAAAATAAAAGAAATAAAAAGCTGGAAAAGTACTGAATGATGTTTGGCAGTATGTTAGAAGTCACCACGCGGCTGGAGCGAGTGCAGAAAAGCTTGTGTGTGGCAGAAGTGAGGAGCGGGCTGCCACCTCTGCTTGTCACATGCTGAAAGCCACCACCCGTAACAAGGGTTAGTGTCCAAAAATGTTCTCCATGAAAGCGTGGTTAGAAGTTCACAGAATCACAGAATTGTAGTGGTTGGAAGGGACCTCAGAGATCATAGAGTCCAACCACAAAAAACGACAACAACAACAAAAACAAAAAAACAAAAAAACAAACAAACAAAAAAAAACAACACCCAAAAAAAACCACCCCACACACACCAGCCCCACCACCTAAACACACAACAACAACCTCCAAACCAAAAAAACCATCACCCACCCACACAACACCCCACCACAAACCAGTAATCTTGGGCACTAGAGCATGCCCTGAAGAACCATGTCTACACGTTTCTTAAATCCCTCCAGGGATGGTGACTCCACCACCTCCCTGGGCAGCCCATTCCAATGCTGGATAACCCTTTCAGTAAAGAAATGTTTCCTAATATCCAACCTGAACTTCCCCTGGTGCAACTTGAAGCCATTACCCCTTGTCCTGACATCTGTAACTTGGGAGAAGAGACCGACCCCCGTCTCTCTACACCCTCCTTTCAGGTACTTGTACAGAGCTATAAGGTCTCCCCTCAGTCTCCTCTTCCCCAGACTGAACACCCCCAGCTCCCTCAGCCTCTCCTCGTAAGACTTGTGCTCCAGACCCCTCACCAGCTTCGTTGCCCTTCTCTGGACCCGCTCCAGCACCTCAATGTCCCTCTTGTGGTAGGGGGCCCAAAACTGGACACAGTACTCGAGGTGGGGCCTCACCAGTGCCGAGTACAGGGGGACGATCACCTCTGGGGTTGCTGGGACGAACCCTTCTGGTGCCAAGGGTTCACTGGTGGTGAGACACGGCCTCCGTGGCTCCGTGTGATGGAGCCAGGGCTCCATCCCAGATGCTCGGCCCTGCCTGGGAAGGTGGGAGGGGAAGGAGCTGGTCCTGGGGAAGCGCTGCCTGCGTGGGGTCGCGTGCCGGGGAGCCGGGGCAGCATCTCGCCAGGAGTGACAGCTGAAGTCACTTGTTGGAAAAGTCTGTAAACTCCGGTTACAGCTGCACTTGTCAGGGGCTTTGAGGGAAGTGTAATCAGCCACAGAGATTAATTTGCATCTCAATTAGGAAAGAGTCAGGAGGAAGCATAGGGTCTGTTGCTGGAAGGTTGTGGAAGAAATCTCATCAGGCACAAAAGGCTCCCAAGTCTCCGTGCTCCAGCGAGGGGAGGACAATATCCGAGTCTGGTTTCCATGGGGACCAGGACCTCAGAGCCGCAGAGAATCTCGCTGTGCGCTGTAATCGCTTGGTCATGATGACACAAATTCCACTGTCGTACCTAAATATATTTTTCTGTTCTCTTGGAAAACGAGGGAGGTAACTATGGCAGACCGCATCAGATAATTATTATTTTTATTATTTTTTTTAAATCTAATTTTTACGTAACTCTTTCTTTTTTAAAGAATTCAGTAAGACCAGGGAAATGAAAAAAATAATTAACTATATTTAAACTTTAGTTTAAAGCCATTCTGGCTACAGGTTCTTTGTATCCATCAAATGGCATGTGATGGCATTGCGCAGCAGCAAAACCAGGAGAGCTAACACGTAGCTCACCTCTCCTTTGGATTGGTAAAGCTCAGTTGTCTCTGTAGCTGCTGCAACGTTTACAGGGTCGTGGGCGATTATCCATTAGTATAGGTTCAAAATAACCATTTTTTTCAGGAGTGCATTAATTCTTGGTGTGATGAGACATTGAGACCGAGCGGCTGCCAACCATATTAATTTGTGCTCTCACCATCCTCAAGTAACTGCTGAGTGCAAGAAAATGTGTTTCAGCGGCTTTTTCAGCAAGAATTTTTATTTTAAATATGCCTGTGTATTTTATGGAAATCATAAGCAATAAGGTGGCTTAATTTATATAAGAACAAGGAAGAATAATATTTAAACTTACTAAAATTGTGCTATAAATCCAAATATACTCGTGCGAGTTTCTGAGAGCGTTAAAGCAACCTTTTTAAGTGCTGGGGAAACGAAGGAACAACTGATCTCACAGACAAATTATGTATCAAAACTGAAGCTCCTCTTAATTAAGCCCAGTTAAAGCGAAGGTTGCTAGTTGTCAGCATTTAAGAATAATGCAACTCTATAAGCAGAATGCCTTAGGAGACAAAAGCAGGATGAAAACCACTGCATTTGTGATTCGGTAACTGTAGTTGGGTTGAGCAGGACCCCCTAAGCAAGGGCCTGTACTGGTTCCAGTAATCTTGAATATTTCAAAAAATGGTAGGGGTGATGGTATAAAACTGCATCTTTGTGCTCTCTTCCATCTTGTATTAAATGAATTGTATGTCAGAAAGGATTTGTGAACATTTATACTGCAGCCCTAAGCTGCACATCTTTGGGAGCTGGTCTCACCTGTAAGGATTAGTTCTGGGGGGAGGAGGGGTGCAACAGGTAATAAACCTCAAATTAGGAAAATATAAGTAAGTCTGCAGGCGTCAGAGACTTTGGGTGGTCCATAATTTCGTGATGGTCTCCAGAAAGACTTTGAGTTTGGGGACAGTGATGTCTGAGCACAAAGGTCCCCTTAGAACACGTAGGGAAGTGCAGGTTGGGCTGCTCAGAATCCAGTTGTCTTTCAAAATGGAGCAATTTCCTTGCTCGTTGAATTAAATTGTTCAGAGACTTGGAAGTTGGTCTCAGGTTTGACTTACGAAATTTCATAAGCGAGATGCC